TGCCCATTTCATAACTATAATCTATGCACGTTATCAAATTGATGCTAGAAATAGTGTTATCCTAGGAATGAACTAATCTGTGTGTTTCATTATTATCCATAAAAACAAGTATTACAATCGTAGTTGAAAAACAGATATAAACAGAAGTGCGTTGCGAGTGGCCAAAGCCGTGTGTCCCGTGGCACCGCATCTGGGCAAGAGTGCCAAGCAAGGCCCATAAAGAATCGGCCGAACTGAACTGCTTTCAGCTTGGGACTGAAATTTGGACTTCATTCAGTGTTGTGGCAGTATTAATTACAACTGTTTGTGTGTATTTTATCAATTACTTTACTCACCTCAATATGTTATTTCCTCTTGCACCTTGATTTTTAGGAAAAAACCTTGCATGGTGACCATCGTATTTAATACATGAACACAAAAGGAACTAAATCTGAGCATGTCAGAAACTTTATATCATCTAGTAAAATATGATGATGATTTGCTTGGCAGGATTATAGGCTCATAATTTTCCTAAATAGAGCTGGAACATAAGCTCCCTGTGTGAAACACCTAGCAGAGTTCCCTGAAGAGATGCAGGTCACTTTTAAAAGCAAGTATCTGCTGCTCTACTCATTGAAGCTAGTTTTACTCTGTATCAAAATACCTGCAGCAGCTATGTGGAAGTGTGTCCTAAATTTGTCAGGTTTGTATTGAGTCCATCATCCCCACACGAGTTAATCAACAAGCGGAGTAGAGTGAGGGAAAGCCCTTTTCTCGCTTCCATTTTTTTATTTTATTGTAAGCGGCGGTTTTCTGTTTTTCTTCTACTTTTGTTGTGTTGCCTTACGTATATAACATTTTAGGCTGCCATGGGGGTTGCTTGAAATTACTTTGGCACTGGAAATCGCAACATCTGGAAATTGCCCCTGCCTGGGGACAAAATGCAATGCACAAGGATGGGTGGAGTAGAAAAAAAAACACCAGTAACCTCAGCTCCCAACGGTCTTTCCACATATCCACTCCCTAGTAGTTTGCATCCAGAGTAAATAACTTTTCTGCACAGATAGGCGTGCAACTCCATGTGGGGAACTGGACAATGACATGCCAGCATTCAAAAAGGATCTATAACCTGTAACTTCTTTTCTTCCCTGGTTCAGTGAGCTGTCTGCCTTTTCCTTCCTGTTCTTGAGAGATGGAGCAACCCATGCAATGGGTTGAAGGAGCAATTTCTGAGCTCAGTGATACGGCAATACCGGCTTCCTGCTTGACTGCTGGTTTTCTCTTACTTTTGCTGGTGACTCCATCATGTTCTGCCAGTTCAGAGAGGACTTTCTACATCACTTCAACTAACAAAGCATTCTCTTCATTGTTGTTTTCTACTACTCAATATCGTCACAACTTTACATACTGGAATTTTACCATCTCCCTGGACCAGCTGGCTGAACTCAGCTGAGGGTTAGTGTCATCAAAGCCTAATAAGAAAAATACTCACCAGCTACTGACAAGAGACCTGGCTTTACCAGCCTGTAGACCACAACCTCTTGGTAGTTTTGTGGTCTTTATTCAGGATGTGGATATGACTCACTGTAGTCCAGAGGTCACTGATCTCCACTGATCATTCACCTGAATGCTGGCTTCTGAGAATTGGAGATGACGGGCAGCGGGGTTCAGAAAGCTCTTTGACAGATGTGGCTGTTGTGGATGTATCTTCTCTCAGCAACTTTAGCAATGAGTGAGATCACAGGAAAAAGAGAGCATGCTCCTTCAGCCTTGTGAAGTGTTGCACAAGATTCCTTTGACAAATAGGAATATTGGAAGTTTAATAGAAGAGTTGAAATACACAGTGATATTCATCTGGTGAATGAATACATGTGCCACGTGCAGATGTTTGACCATGCTGATTGTAACTAGAATTTGTTGACCTAAACTATCTTTACTGCTGTCCATGACACATGTAAACCTGCAATTTGCCACACCTCTCCTTCCAGTTGCCAAGCTGGGGAATGACATCTTCCTTTCTCTTCATGTAGAGGAAAACCAGCATCTGAAGGCATCAGTTTTAGGTTCTTCTGTTGGTAGCTTCTTGTTTCAACGCACTTGATGCTGCATGTGAGAGATTTCTTGGTTTCTTTCCACTGCCCAGGTTTTAGACCTTCACTCATAAACCTCTGGGCTAAGAAAACAGTCTGAAGAAAAAGAAAATCCATGTTTCACAGTCATACAATATAATGCTTCCTAAAACCAGCTGGTTTACTTTGTGACTTGTATATGTTGATTGCTTCTGTTGCTTATGGGTTGTCATATTTTATTCCTGTTCTGTCCTAAATTTAAAAAAAAATAAAAATCTAAGATAATACTGTATAGGAAAAGTTCATAAATTATTCTCTTGCAGCTGGAAAATGCTGGGCAACATTTATCTGTACTGTGGCATTCCTATATTTATTCTCTAGATCAACACCCACAGTTTTTGGTATGCTGTAATTTAGGAAAAGAATCTCTACATCACTTTTAAAATTCCTTTCAAGTTGAGGCACAACATATTCATTTTTACTTTTTCTAAGTCAAAAACATTTCACACTTAAAAAAATTAATCTCATCTGTTGCCTATGTGTTGATTGAACAAAAAATGATGACTGAGATGGGTGGATGGGGATGTAGGGATAAAGGCGTTCTGCAGTCAAGGCTGGATCGCATGATCATTTAGCTTAGTTTCTGCTTTTTGGTTCTGTTCATATTCTTGCTTTCATGCTTTGAATTTGTTGAATGCTTTTGTTTATAGGAAAATAAAAAGAGAGGACTTTTTTTCAGCTCTGACTTAAAACAAGCTCGTGGGTGTTCAAACTACAGACGGTGTTTATTTTAATGTCGATACATTTCTGGGGGTGGGGAGGGGAGAGAAAGGAGCTTAGAATAATTCTGTTCACAGACTTTAAAATAGAAAGAGTTTATCTGCCCTGGCAGATTCTTTTTGCCTTTTGTAAGACAGATAAATACTAGCCTTTCACTGAAAGAAGATGGTATATATGGATATAATATGCGTGGCTATAAGTATAATGGATATATTATGTCCATAATATGCTATGGGATTTCCCTTGTAGTAAAACCTTAGCATTCAAAAACATTTGTCTGCTTTTCAAACTTGTTGATACTTATTTTCAAATTCTTATGGAGTAGAAATAAATACAAGTATAGAAATTTTTGTTTTTTCCTGTTTATTTCATTGCTGACCGTTTTCTTGGAAACTTTGAGCAATAGAGCACAACGACTGTGTTTTTGCCAAGGAGGATCTGGACACAATTCACTGAACTTACAGATACTGACTTAAGTGAAGGCAAAAGATTGTTTGTGTAATATCAGTTTTTCTTCCCTAGCATAGACCAGGAGAACTATAAAGGAGGGGGGGGGGGGGAGGTTGGTTATCTTCTCCAAATGATTTGCATTTCCTGTCTTCTAATAACAGTAGTTTTTCAAATAATTTCTAAAGATAATGTTTTTGATGGTTTTTGAAATCATGGCATAAGACTGCAGAGTATTAAGGATGCTGTAGCTTTTGTAATGGGGTTATGGGATGGCTACTTGAATTAGAGTCATGGTTTATTATTCAGGTTTGTCCTTCGTGTAGATGATCCAACAAGATCCCTGAATGCCAATAGATTTTCTTTTGCCATATTAAATGTAAGTAGTTATGCAACAAAATGCAAATTCAGAAATAGATACATATTTTTTTTTGGTCCAGAGGGGAAGTACTGATTAGACTGTTGTTTTTCTGAATGTCTCATGTATTTTTTGAAAGTAAGTGAGGGCTCTTTCTTACTTACCATGGTAAGAATAGAAGAAATGAGATAGAACAGTTCAGGTAGCATACTGTTTTCAAGCAAATTCTAATTTAGGCTCATTTTTTTTTACGTTCTTAATCTACTTAAATGTTGTAAAACAAATTACTGTGTTTCTAATGGGTACGTGGTATTTGATTAGTAAAGGTTAACAATGTTTGCCAAACCTGGTTTGCATACATACCGTGCCAGTGCTGGGAGTACCAAGTGGCTGTACCTGGTCATCTTTGCTCTGTGCTTCTTGAATCAGGTGTAGGGAGAAACTTGAGACAGATGTCCAGGCTCAGTGCAGCATGGGCACACCATGGTTAAGCATGACCATGGTGCAGAGCCAGCAGCAGCTGTGGCTCTGCAGGCAGAGGGCAAGAGACTTGGCACGGCCCAGGGATGAGGGGTTGCTTGAGGAGGAAGTGGTGGCCTTTGAATAGAGTCTGTATAGATTGTGACCCATTTTGAATTTACATGGTTTCAAGCTCTTCTCAAGAAGAAAATTTGGGTGCTTTCGTGGTGTTTGCTCATAGGCAATGGTTTTCAGTTTATTCTGAAATAGTGTCAGTTGGTGCTTCTGTCGCCGTTGACCATCGTTTGAATCTTCTGGATACTGCTATGAGTGACAAATGTGCTCTTTCGTTTCTGTAATGCATAGATTAAAGCATTAGAAAAACCTTCTTTCGGTTCAGTCGAATGCGGTTTATGCAATATCCTAAAGGCCAAAATGCTGAAATCTCTTCTCTCCAAACAGCATAGTTTGCTGTTATGTTGCCAAATAACAACTTTCATCCGCAAGTTGCTAGAACTTTGAAGCAATGCGGATGGAGTTGTTGACTTTTACCACATAGCTTTAGAAAATCAAAGACTGCTTAGATACAGCACTGATAACTACTTCTGTCACCAATTGAAGGGTTGAAAGTTGAACAGAATTTGTAGCAGACAGCAGACTTAATGAAATTAATATTTTTTTCAGAACACTTCCATAGAGTAACAAATGAAAGCAATACATCAGAATTCCATCTTAAATCTTCTTCCCTTTACTGTGAGCATTAAGAATTAGGTATTCAGGACAATCATCATTAATGTTATTGGCCAGAAAATCTATGGCTTTTTTTTTTTTTTACTGTTAACTCATGACAAAAGTGCTTGTTTGGCTGTAATTACAATGATGTACTTTTCTTTTTCCCTAGGTGGCAATTTTTAATGCAGTAGTGTCATTGGCTGAAGACTAAACATGAGAATAGCAGGTAAGTACACTTAGTAAAATCAGACTTTTGTCACTTGTGAAACTAGTGCTACAGATAGCATTAACAAATTATGACAATAAGGTTTTAAACTAAACTTAACTGGTGTTACAGGCGTTGCTGTTCCATTTAATTGATGTGTTGTGAAACTAATTTTGGAATTTAGGATGGTCTAAGAGCAAGCAGCTGGTTAAAATGCTTCAGCTGGTCTGCAGTGACTGGTTAAGGTGCCATGACTTGACGTACTTTGGCTGCTAATCCTGTAAGATGATGAGGGACAAAGCAAATGGCCAATTGATGTTTTAAGAGATTGCTTCTCTGCCTCACGCTCCAACCAAAAGTGCTATATGCTATTATAATTTAGTTTCTGAAACTTCCTGAGTAGTTACTGGGAGTTTGAAAACTATAAAAGCCTTTTCATAGAGGTAAGTTACTGTAGAACAGGGTTTGGGAAACGGATGTTACTTGACAGAAGGTGTAGTGGTTGTAAAAATAAGATCCTTGCCAATATAACACTACAGGAAAATATTATTTTAAGACATTTCCTTGGAGTAGAATAGCTTGTGTGCAATTGAACGTTTTGAGTTTCTGACACATTGCGCTTTTATCAATAGTGGTAGTGTTATGTTGCAGAAGGAGCAATGGTTGGCTTTTCTAGGAGAGAATGACACCACCTTTTCCAAGAGAGTTGCACATTAACTTTCTTAATGCATGAAATTAGTCCTGATTTTTGTTACTACTTCTAAAGGTGGTTTTGTTAACCTCAATATGTTGTATAAGTAGGAGCAATCTGCTAAAGTAAATCTGGTAAGGAACTGGAAAATGCTGCAATTCTTAGAAGACAGCTAAATCACCTGTAAAATGACTTCCAAACCTCTTTTTTTCTTCCATCTGACCACTTTTGTTGCTAAAACCTGCAGACAAAGATGATACAGCAGGTCCCTATAGAATGTTTAACCTGTAGGAAAGAGGCTGGCTTTGGTTCTAATGTTAAAAGAATTTTCTAGGAGATTTCCTACCTCTCTCAGTTGGAGGGGGTGCTCGCAGCTCAGTTGAAAGGATCAGGATGTAGAGTGAACGGAATGGTTAGTGCTTAGACTGAGTTCTCGTCCATCTCACCTACTACCTTCTGAAACAACGTGCTCTCCAAGTGCCACTTGCTAGATGACGCGTTCCAAAATCTGGTACCATCTTTGTCTTTTTAAGCAGTGTTGCCTTGAAAACCTTTTCTCCACTTCTAAGCATATGTTCAGATCATCTGTTTTCTCTTGTGCTTACATGTGTTTCACTTTCCTTCAAGTGCAATAATCTGTGGAGTTCCAGCGTAATATTTTTAAGTTAAGTTTGCATCTATGTTTTCTCATGTAGTGTATATGTGCTCACATACACGAAAATGGGAGAGAAAGACTGAACTACCAGCAAGCAAAAAGTCGTATCTCTTTCTTCATCTTTCTTTTCTTTTTCTATCCCCTTATCTTTTTTTAGCTTTTTGGAAGCATTGATTAACATCTCTCATCCTTCTGAAGGCTGAGTAATATGTCTATTTTAAGGGTTTCTGAACAGCCCATCACAGCAGCAGTCTGAGATCTGCAGGAGTACATAAGTTCGGTTTTTTTCTGAAGGATTTATTTGGCTGGCGATCTGAGAAACAGAAGCATGCTGTGAGGTTGCTTCTTCCAAACAGTTTGACATACTGGGCTGAGACAGGAAGGCAGGATGTTGATCAGATGCCTCCTCACCTAACTTCTCTCAGTATTTTACAGTAAGCGAAGAGTACAGTGTTCTGTAAAAATCTATTGAAAATTATGCTAAAAAATGATGGGCTTCATGGCAGTACCACATACACCCAAGTTTCCATTTCAGATGTAAATTGCTATGATTGTGTACTTCCAGCTCTTCTCCCAGGAAGTAACTTGACCGCTCGGCACTGGAGAAAGTTAGGCTTGTAAAATTACTTTTTAAAATTAGTTCTTTTAGTCTTCAGACTTGCTTTTTGAAGGTCAGAAATTTTAAATTTGTTGAAAAGGAGGTGAGGAGGCTTTCTTTTGGTTTGGTTGGTGGTTTTTTTAGTGTAATGCTCAGACCTGACTGACCAAAGCAGCCAAGCTACAGTATATGAACAAATCCCTAATCACTCAGTCTTGACCATACATTAAAATAGAGGTAGCTCAATTTGGAGAGGGGGAAGAGTATTTGTGAACAGTGAGGAAACAGGTACACATGGCTAAGAACAGGGAGGTGGAATAGGGGGAGGTGGGAATTTCTGCTTTGGGCAGCAGCCAGTTAGCTCAGTGTAGTTCATCTTGTTAAACTGGATTTTCACGGAAAAGTCTGTGGTTTCTTCTGGCTGCTGAGCTGAGCTGGTGAGCTGTGGTGTCAGACAAGTGTGACGCTGGAGAAAGCTGAAAGCAGGGTGTGTGTTTGGAATAGTAACCTGATGGACTGGCTCAGTTGCACCCTACATTATAATGTCAATTGCTTGCAGATTACTTCTGTTTAGTGAATCCACAAATGATCATCCTGTTTCTGAGTTCCCCTTCATGTAATCTGACACATTTCTTACGTAGTCAATTTTTGTAAACTTAATGTTATCATTGGCAGATAATTTTTTTAAACTTTTCTCTGCTTCTGATTAGGTGCTGCAAAGTTGATAGTAGTCGTAGCAATATTTTTATTGACATTTTATGTCATATCTCAAGTGTTTGAAATAAAAATGGAGACAAACTTAGGACACATATTTGGTAAGTGATGACTTTGTTTTCTCTGTACATCTATTAGTATTTACTTGAGCCATAATCAAGAATATCGTATTCATTTTGCTTTAAGCTTGACTTAGGCTCTTACACTTAAGAATTCTGTGTTTATTTTTAATGTGTGTACTTGTTATTTCTTAATATATATTATACATATATAATATATAATGTGTGTATTAAGTTATTTTCTCTATGAAATATTTAACCTACTCTCTTAATCAGTTTGATTCTTTTGCCTGCCAAGTATGCATAATTTTACCTGCTTTTTCTGTTTACTGGTACTTACAGTCTTAGTCTGGAGTTGTAAACTAGGTGACTTGTATGATGTTTCTGGAAATCTGTACTCTGCCTTTGTGCTGCTTAAGCAATTAAAAATTTAACTTTTAGGTGGGCTTTTTTTTGCTTGTACAGGTACACTACCATGTACAATTGAATGTGCAGTAATCAAAACGTTTCTGATGTGCCCAAGTTCTACACAGACAAGGATTAGCAGCTGAGATGACTTAAAATTCAGAGTGTATGTTTTATGTTTTAAACCAACCTTATCTTTAAAGGGACTTTTCATTACAAAAAAAAAAAAAAATTTCAGGACAGGCTGAGAGAGTTGCGGCTGTTCAGCCTGGAGAAGAGAAGGCTCCAGGGTGATCTTATAGCAGCATTCCAGTACTTAAAGGGGGCCTACAGGAAAGCTGGAGAGGGACTTTTTACAAGGGTGTGTAGCGATAGGACAAGGGGCAATGGATTTAAACTGAAAGAGGGCAGATTTAGATTAGATCTAAGGAAGAAATTTTTCACTCAGAGGGTGGTGAGGCACAGGAACAGGTTGCCCAGAGAAGTTGTAGATGCCCCATCCCTGGAAGTGTTCCAGGCCAGGTTGGATGAGGCTTTGGGCAAGGTTTCCCTGCCCATGGCAGGGGGATTGGAACTAGATGATCTTTGAGGTCCCTTCCAACTCTAACCATTCTATGATTCTACATGGGTAGAGTTCATGTTATTTAACTCCAGATTACTACAGTGTGAGCCGACACCTGAATCAGTTACCAGAGGCATCTTTGATAATTGTTTAAGAGACAGAAATGTCATTAAGTATTACAGATGTATTGTAGATATGTGCTTGATGAGGTCACTTGGGTCTCTTCCTATCCCAAGACAGGGAGTCATGAATGGTTGGATTCACATACACCTGAGTCGCAGGCTTCCAGTGTTAGGTGAAAGGAAACCCATCCCTGAGAAGCTGTAAGAAGGGAATTCATTTCACTTTAGTGCCCACACCTCTGCAGATCCCTGATGGTTTTGTATCTCCGTGGATCTTTGTGTTAATTGGGGAGTCATAAACTAAGGCTTCTAAATGTAGTCCCTGATCACTTTCATTCTTCTACCATGTAAAGGTTAATGTTTTATATTGGAACATAATGTTCAGATGTATTTGATGCTTCGTTTCAATGAACTTGTTTTTATAGGGGTACAGAAAGGTTTTAAATTTATAGAATATTTTATAGTAGATGACATTTTAATAGTAACATCTTTTAAAACTTTCTTTTTGCATTTTAGCTAGATCAGCACTGGATGCAGCTGCACGCTGTAAGTGTTCACATGCATGTGTTACTGCTGTGACTTGCTTTTGCTAATAACAGAAAGACTGTTGAATTTTTATAATTAAGAAAGTCTTAATTCCACTTTAAATGCAATCAGAAATTAATTTTCCTCTTTTCCTGATTTTCCTAACTCTCTGGTAAAGTCTATTTTTTCCCTAGCATTTTACTTTTAGTTTTGTCTTGTGGCTTTTGATGACAGTGCCAGAGCAAGCAGCGGGGGTGAGAACAAAAAGTAGAATAATGAGGTACTGCAGGAATCTAGATTATTTTAAGGTGCTGTAAAACTACAGATGAGATACTGTTCATCTCTGTTCTTTTCCTTGAACTCCTTCAGAAAACTAACTGATGTTTTTCTGTTAGCCTACCTGTGATGTTGTCTCTAAAATCCTGTTTTATTTCCGTTTGAAAGCTACAAAACCTCCAAGATACAAATGTGGGATCTCTAAAGCTTGTCCTGAAAAGCATTTTGCATTCAAAATGGCAAGTGGAGCAGCGAACGTAGTTGGACCTAAAATTTGTGTAGAAGATAACGTGTAAGTGTTTTTACCTGTTGTCTCTTTAAGTATCTCTTTCAAATGCTGTCTTGGATCACTTTGCACACAAAATCAGTAGTTTAAATGATTCTTTGTAGGTTTTGTTTTGCCGGTGGTTTGACTACATGAAAAAATTTAATCTCTGATGAAGCACACTTAATACTCTGCAGTAAATGCAGGAATGTTATGCTCTTTTAATACATACAAGATAGCTTACACTTCAGGTTTACAGACTTGAGGATTAGTTAGATTTTGTCAAATCAGATGCAAACTTGCCTCTGAGTAACTTGTTCTTGTGCCTTTAGTGGTAATTCAGTGAATGATTGTACTTAAGTAATTATCCTTGTTACTTCTAGTTGAGTGTCATCAGCTAAAACTGTGCTGTGGAATTGTCTTCTGCAAGTCATATTTTAATCTATTAGCATAGTACCAATGTCAGGACTTATTTTCTGCTTTTCTTTAAGAGATTACTTCAAAAGGGAAAAATAGTATTTTAATGATCAGTAGTTATTTAATTGTGCTGATTGTAACTAAAGTTAATAAATTTGAAATAATTGTGAAACAGAGAAAGGAACTGCTTGAAACAACACAGTTTGGTTTTGAGTTTAAGTCTTGTATTTCTAATAACAGTATTTTTAACACAGTATTATCAGTAATACTATGCCTAAAGTATTTAACTAAATAGCTTTCACATAACCCCATAATGGGAATATTAATATTTGGGTTTAGACTTTGTTTCTTTGCTCTTAGGTTGTTCCTGCTCCTGTCACCCTGAGTGTGCAGCTTCTAACAATCTGCATGTCACATGTCAGAAGAGGCATGATGTTAGCATTGTTGGAAGGAGTTTGTTTTTTTTAAATATCAATCACACTCACAGGCCTTTGCCTTCCTTTCGCATTTGAACTACTCCAGTTTGGCTGTTTCTCAGTCCATGCTATGTTAGTCCAGAGTGGTTCAGATAGCACATACAGCAGTCAGTGCTGATTAATTCTATAGCAAATGGCAACTTTACTGTGAACAGTGTAACCTCATTTAATGTTGTAAATAGTATAATTAATTTATAAAAGAGTAAAAAGTGTTGGTTTATATTTTCCATCTCTTTACTATCTATAGTAGCACTGTAAGATTAGTCTTACATGCTCTTAGAAAAGACTAGTTGTAGCATCGACTCTAGCAATTAAGATGTATTGAAGCTGAAATGGGAGCTTTTTTCCCTGACAACTAAACACGTGCAGCGTTTTCACTTCGTGTTATTCGTAGAAGCAGGAGGACCATTCAGATTTCAGGCCGTTCTTCTGTGAGGCTGGCTTAGCTCAAGCTTGCTCACGTGTGTAGGAGTGCATTTGCAGGGGAGCATCGCGCTGTAGTCGTGGAGCACGTGCCAAGCGAGCGTGAGCTCACCGTTGGGCACCTGCTGACTAAAAGCTGCTAGCTTCTGCTTTCCTGTCTTCTCATTGATTCGCCTTGTGACCTTGGACACTCTTATCTAATCTGTCTGCATGGTGGTTTTGTTGGTGTTACGAAACTTGCCAGCTTCTCATTCTGGTTGCTAGGAAGCTTAATGTCTGTGAAGCCTTAGGGTGATTCACTGGTTAAAAGTTGTGGGAGTGGAAATAATATTTTAATTTCAGGATTGTAGGGTTTTTGTTTTTGGTTTTTTTTTTTTTTTTTAAATGTCTCACTGGTTAACTAAATGAGAGTGTTGTTGCTGTCAAAAAAGAAAATCCTCCACTGGATACTTCACTGAAGACAGTGATGAAAAGAAAGTAGTTGCTGGCAAGAAATCTTCTATTCTTTAATACTAGTGCACACCTTAATGCACAGCTATTGCAGTCTAAAGTCCAGTTTCCCTTGGCAAAAATCCTTCTGTAATTCCTTCTGAGCAGGACTTCTAATGTCTGTTTAAAGGTCCACCAGAAAACTTGATTAATTTTGTATCATCTCCTGCTTTGTTCATAAGACGTTTGATTTCTCTTTCCAAAGCTCCCGTTAACTTGTTGATCGTAAGTTGTTGGAAGAATTCTAAAACTGATGAACGGCTGCCCTCCTGTGAGAAGACTGTCACACTACAGCCTGTAGTGTTTGTGACTTGCTGCAGAAGCTGTCTCAAGTAGTAGTGTAGTATCTCAGAGCTCTGAAAACATTTATTTCTTCTTCAGTAACCGTTTTTTAGTGATATTTTGTGAACTCGCTTCTGAAAAAGGCTTTTTTCTGATTAATTTTCTATTCATGCTTCCCAGACAAGGAAACAGGGACAAGTTTTCATAATTTACAGTGTAGGTTTTTGTTGTGTATTAAGCACAGGGATGTCACTTGGTTGATGAGACCACTAAAGGTGCTGATATAATTCAGAATACATTTAATTTCTCAATTTTTTCTTTTTAATTATGTAGATATTTTGGTGTGAAATAGGAATTCTGCTGTATAGAAGTTCAGTTAAAGCCTTGTTCTCCTATATTGGAAGGACATAGTCCGAATTAGAAAAAGCATACTGTAGTCATCATCAAAATATTAAATATTGTAGTTGCTACTTCATTGCCTTTTTAGAATAAGGGGCAATATTGCTATACTTCATTACTAGCAACTTCTCCATGCAGTTTTACTGCCTCGATTAAGAAGGCAGTTGCATGTTTGTGCTGCAGTAACTTTATAGTAGAATGTCACACTACATTCCTTTTAATAACCGGTACTTCTTTTATACATATTTTCAGAACTTCTTTGTTGTCTGAAATCTCTTACAACTTTTTGTTATGTATGTGTGGATTTTCAGTGTCTAGTCAGCCCAGTATTGGATGTTTTTGACTGGCACCTATTTACAGAGAATTTTGTAGTTAAAATAAAAGGATGTTCTATTGATAAATTAAATGTCTGCTAATCTTTATATGAGGAGAGGGATGCATTCAGAACTTCACTGGGGTTTTAATTTGTGTTTTCAGTTATTTGCCATGTTTCTCTTGATTAGAATGGATGTTCAGATATGACCTGAAAATCCTGTGATCAGAGAAGAAATCATCCTTCAGTGCCTAAAATACTTCTGAGTTCCCTGCTAACCAGAACTGAATTCTGCATTTCAGCAGAAAATTGCAGGTCTTCTATTTCAGGAGTTACTGAATTAGAGTTTTAATTTTAATCAGAATTTTTGGCAGACGGTGTAACTTAGAGGACTAACAGAAGAGTATAGACTTTCATCTCTGATTACTAGTTCTTGAAAACCTAAGTCACCGTACCAAGAGTTACCACTTACTGATAGTCTTTCATGGCCTCTCTGAACTAATACTGAGTCTGTTCCTGATAGTTGTCGGTTAAATTTAACGTTCCTCTAAATTTTGGCTTTTATCTTCGTCCTGGGTGCAAAAGATAGCATCAGAGAGAAAGATTTTTGTCATGTTTCTGTCATAGACCTTGTTTCTAGCCTATCACTAATAAGTTAGCAAGAGAAAGCTGATGTTGCAGTCATGTGTAAGGACATGGTCCTTCTGAAACAATGCTTAGAATGGATGTTCAGACATGACTTGAAAATTATATGATTGCAGAAGAAATGTGAAAAAGTTTTGAACATAACAGGGTTGTACATGTCTGCAGTCCCTTCCCAGAGCAAGCTAGGAAGGCTAAAGAAATCCTGATGAGGACGGAGGTAAAGCATCTGTTGGAGATTTTGTAATCTGTTTGAAATTAATGAGATATGTGCACTTACATGCTTATGCTGAGGTGCTTTCTTAAATCTCAGCTAAAGACTTCTTCAGGACCTTAATTTATGTCATAGTTTCAACCCTTACTCCTATTTCTCCTTGTTTATGTTAACTCTTTTACTACTAGCTTCACAATGTTAGTGCTGGGATATTTGGGGTCTGGAGGCAGAAGAGAGACCATTATACAGTGCCGGTGAAAAGGGATGAGGAGATCTCTAAGCTTCTTCTCACTAGAATGGTACACCCATCGTGATCCAAGATGGCACAGCACCACATCTGACAGTCTTGACGTACCCATTCGCTCTTCTTTACAGCTCTGAAGGGCTTCTGTTTCACAATGTGTTTATGCTTTCCAGCTCCTCTGCCACTTTTCAGTTTGGCCAAGTAATTGCTGTTAGAGATTGTAATGGTTTTGTTGGTATGTGCGACTGTACTCTGAGATTATATTCAACTTTTGTTTAAAGTCCCGTCAGTGTATGAAGTATTTTTCCTGGCTTTAAGTTTCCTATTATAGGTAAGAGTAGCTAACTGCTTTGACTTTCTTGTTTCTTAGTATGATGCTGCAGTATTAAATTGAAATACCTCGGTTCAGTTAGCTTTTAAACTCATTAACACATTTTTGTTCATCACGTGCTTACAAAAAAGCTTAAAATGTTGATTACATGACCGTGCTAAGCTCCTCAAATTATTTGTTTCAGGCTTTTTAACTGTAAGGAATTTTCTTAAATACATTAATAGCACTTTAGTTTTGGTGACATTTTAAATATACATACATACTTTGAAACCAAGATGATTAAGCAGTCAAATGATCAAATGAAACGGATACAACTGGGGATATTTGATCTATTATTTTTCTTAATTAGGTGATACCATAAGAGCAGATAGATTAGTAGTTCAAGGAGATTTTGCTTCATTTAAGTACTCATTAACATGTCTGTTTTCAACTATGTATCTCTCACAATTTGATTGATCCTATTTAAAAAAACAGAAATATTTCACATCAGAAAACTGTCCTGTTAAAAACAGAATTGTTTATTTTGTTTCAGTTTAATGAGTGCAGTGAAAAATAATGTTGGCAGAGGAATAAATGTGGCCTTGGTCAATGGTAAGTGACGTTTTAAGTGAGCAGATTGTCTTCTTTTTCAGATTGTTTCTGAAATTTGAGGTGAAATACTAAGGGATGGTGAAAGGCAAGCAGGAGGAGAAAAGGAAGCCTTCAGCCTATTTGTACTGAGATCATGTCAGATTTTGACACTCTTACCTTTTTGTTAAAAAGTAGAAAAACTCAATGCATTTTAGGTTTTAAAAACGCATAGCAAAAATAGTAACATGGAGTGCTGTGGTGACTATCTGTGATACCTCAGATAAATTCCTCATGCACATATAAAATGGAAGAGGACATGAGATACATGCTACTTATTTTGACTTTGTGCGTTGCCACCACTACTAAAACTTCGTAGACTAAATTCTTCTGTTGCTGTCTTTTCAGTGAAACTTATCTAACAATTCTCTTACTACATGGAAGGACCAGTTCATTATTTCCTAGCTTGAAATCAGTCTATTTGATTAGTCTATACCTATAGATCTTGTCCCTAGATACATCATGTTATGTAATTGTGCTCAGGATTCTTAACTTTCATTAAAACCAAACAAATAGACTTGTGTGTGACCTTGAAAGCTGAACTGAATGTCAGTACTGGCAGATTTGTCCTTGATGTGTAGGAAGCAATTCCTTGTAGCACTGAGATAGTACTTCGTCATTTCAGTGCAATATAAATTCATGTTATTTTTGGATTGTACTTAGGTTTACGTCATCTAAAGCATGACTTGAACAATACTTGCCTAATCCTATTTCGACCTCCTAAATTGTCTCAATCTGTTCAAAATACCTACCTTTGCATTATATAGCTGCCAGTCTTTCTCCCTGTCTTCCAAACTTTAAATGAATGTATGTATTAAAAAGAAAACTCTGCCTTCCATCGAATCCTGCCTTCGTAGGCAGCATAGTGAATAAAAAAAAAAAAGCTACTGAAATTATTATATTGTCCACTTTCTTCTATTTGTTCTGGATGTTTAAATCAACTAAGAATTTCCAGTCTAGCAGAACATGCAGTGTAATTTTTAATCTTTCTTACTTTCCATGGGGCACTAAAGGCAACCTATAGCTGTACTATCTATTTTTGCAAAACCAACTTGAAAATAAAAAAATGAATTGAATTCTCTTTATTGGTTTAGCGTCTGTGGGCTTTTTGTTGCATTTTATATTCCACTTGAAGCAAAATCAGAAGTTTTCATCTTCTCTCTTTCTTTCCTTTTACTTTCCTGCGTCTTTCACAAATTAATATACTGTTTAAGGAGCAATCTTCATAGAATATAAGAATTACCATGGTAATTGATTTGTGTGGTGTCTTCTGCAGCACTTTTCTCTGAAAGAGTCATTAAGAGGTCTTGGACATGTTATCTGTAAAATATTTTTTACTATATTTGATGACACCAAATATTTATTTTTCTCCAGGTAAAACAGGAGAACCGTTAGACACTAAGTTCTTTGACATGTGGGGAGGAGGTAGGTGCAGTTACTTTAACTGCTTAGAAAGAAACAACTTAAATGCCTCTTTTTTTTCTTGTGGGTTTTTTTTTTTTTTCCCCTCTTCTCCCTTCTCTAAGCTCCATTTGCTGTGGTGGTTTAAGGTGGTAGTTAAGGGAGTGCCTGGCCTCTACCTTTGTAATTGTGAGAAGAGTGCAACTTAAAAAAACATACAAATAGTTGAGGTGGGAGGGAATGGTATGGTTGATCAAACACACTTGTTCTCCTGAGTAGTTCCCACTAGTGGTTATGTCTTTACACAACATGGATGAAATATTCTATAAAATAAAAAATTTATAGATGTTTTATCTTTTCCCTACTTAGTATCTTTTTATAAATTTATAAGTACATTTACAAATATTCTTAAAAGGAATGTCTTTGCAGGAAGGCATTGCAGGTGTTTAAATGTGGAATGGTTGCTTATTATTAAAGTGTGTTGTGTTCTCCTCTTCAGATGTGGCACCATTTATTGAATTTCTGAAGTCCATCCAGGATGGAACGATAGTATTAATGGGAACATATGATGATGGTGCAACCAAGTATGTAATAGATTTGTATAGTAAACATTGTTTAAACTTTTAAATGCTGTTTTATACTGAAAAAATGCGTTCTTTATTGCACAATCACTTTTGATTAAGTTTTGTTCTTCCAAGGTAATGGATTTGAAACTATGCTTTCAGTTTATTAGTGTGATTTGGGGGCAACAAGGATCAAATGAAAACTAACCAGGCATAATGAGTTATGTATGTATTTACATAGAGGACAGTTAAATGTATACTTTTGTGATCCTAACAACAGAGAAACAATAAATTTGATACTAAATTAGACCCTTTAGCAGCAATATCGCAAGAGTTTGAAAAGGCTAGAGATTAATAGTTGCCTAATTAGTAAGTGTTGTATCTGTACACATAGCTAATTTTTTTGCTTCTCTGTCTTGTTGTATTAACTTCTTTTCACAATGTAGGGCGTATAGTAAGTCCAACAAACTGCTTACTCATAGCTATGAAGAACATGTTTACATGTCAGGCGTTGTACTTTTTGAAACCATACCCTTAATCTCCCTGGTTTTCGAAGAGCCTGTAGGTTTCTAGCTGCTTGCCTAGAATTTGTCCTCACCTCTTTTTTTTTTTTGAATGTGAAGGATATCTGTCTTTTTGGAAATGTGCTGGTTTTCCTATTGCTGATAGCCCGTTTTGTCTTAATGCTAGTAAATTCAGGTATGTTCAGACATAGGAATGTGAGTGTGAGAACATACTCTGGAAATTGGTCAGCTCTATCCAGTACTTTTCTGAGATCAACTCCAAGACGGAGTTCGGTGGTTACAGGGGTGCAGAGACTGTTCCTAACAGACTTTGCCTGTATCCTTCCTTTTGAAGTCTTAAGAGGTTGCTACTGTGCGCCTCGTACTTTTTGACCTCAGTGTTGGGACTGTTCCACCCTAAAGCTGTTCAGTTTATTACTGTAGGCATAGCCTAAGAGGTTTTAGTTCTCTTTAAACAATTCTCTTTTATTTTCCAACTTTGGTCAGCTTTAATTGATACTAATAATTACTGTAGAATTTGTATTGTCATCTATTCCTCACTTAAGTCATCCTGTCCAAAGGATTGCTTTTCATAGTGAAAATTAAGAGGTTTTTTTCTTATTTTCCTCTGTTCTTTTAATAATATTTAACTTTTTGCTACTGTGTTCTGTACATTTGTTTTCACTTTTGTTTCCATTTGTTATCCACAGCTTGTCTGTATTTTTAATATAAGAGCAGCTTTCCTGTGACAAAGTCCTGACTTTGCTGTGTTCGATATTTGTAGTAAATAGTTAAGTGTAGATTCACTGCTTTTAGGAGAAGAAAGCAGTTTATTGTTTCTTTATGCCAAGGCTGGATCTTGTTGTTCTATTCACTTGTTCTGTTGCTTTTCTTTTTGCTCTTTTTCCGTTTTCCTTTGATGTTTTAGAGAATATGTACAATTAATTTGTTTCAATAATCATGTCACAGCTAATTTTTTTGAAAGCTTGTATATAGATATGATATCAGGTAAGCAAGAATGTGAATTTGGGCTGTTCATGCTGACAGTCAGGAACCTGCTGCTTTTACTAGTGATATTACATAATTCCCTGAAAGCTTACCACTGGTAGTTGATGGTAATCGTAAGTGCCAGTTCTTGAAAACAATTTAAATTGTGAAGAACCAAAATATTTTAAAGTAAAGCTATTTTTATTTTGATTTTTTTTTTAATATTAGCTGCCCTAATGCTCTAGAAACTTGGACTGCGGATTGTGCAAATAATCTCCAAAGTACTTAATCATTTTCATAATTTTAGCTAAAGTGAGTTATACAACTATATCTCAGTAAGTAGTAATAATCAGAAGTTGTGTGTGTTGTTTAGTAGGTCGGGCAAATACATCAACTGAAAGGAAAACGTAGAGAGCTGTTATTTGGAGGTTTTGGAATGATAACTTACCCTACAGAATTGTTTTCCCTTCCATACTAAAATTATGCTACTTGGACCTACAGGCACTGAACCATGCTATGGGACAGTGTTCTGAATTTTGAATTAATTGACCCAACAGACAAGAACTTCTTTCATATGTTCAGGTCATTCTTCTAGTCTAAAATAGCTTTTACTTTATCTAGACTTCAGCTTGAGCGTGCGAATGATGTTTACTTTAAAGGTTGACTTTTTTTAGTTGCTTGGAGAATTGCTAACATGACTTGAGATGTATGTACAAATTCTCCCAGGAGAGGGTTCTTGGCTTTTGTTGGTGTACTGATAGGTTTGTGTGCTGGTTCCTTGATATTATAATATAAAAGAGCAGCGCTCATTAGATCAGGTGATTTCAGAATTAGCCTTATCTGATTTTGAAAGATAGATCTTGCCCAATATTGACTGACTGAAACTATATTTAATCAGATTAAAGCTGAATGGTCCATTTAACAGTGAAAGCTGTAAGGGTATATGCATTTTGTTCACATACTGAACTTCTCTGTTTTGTTTAAGGCTTAATGACGAAGCACGGAAACTGATTGCTGAATTAGGAAGCACATCTATTGCTAACCTTGGCTTTAGAGACAACTGGGTCTTCTGCGGTGGAAAAGGAATTAAGACTAAAAGTCCATTTGAACAGGTCTGTGATTCTAGAACTTGCTGGAATTTATCAGCTTACATTAATAAAGGCGTAGCATGTTTTATAAATACCATGCATTTGTTTAAGATGGATATCTGTTGCAGTAGTAGCACACAGTGTTATTTTCAAATTTATTCCTTGACTAGTCGTCTTTTAAATGTACAAAAGAGATTCTCTGGTGATTCACAAACAAGAAAAAAATCTTATATGGGGTAGAGCTTACTATCCTGGTAACTAGTTCATTTATCTTTTTAATGAATCCAGTTAAACTGAAGAATGAAAAACTTAGTGTCTGTTTTAAATGGACTGAAA